AAGTTGACGGCTGGAGGGGATCCGAACAGTGGTTTCTGCTATCTCGTGTTCTGGAGTGCTGCAGTATTCATGTACAGATGAGATGCTCCACTCCGTCCTGGCATGGTTCTATGCTTTGCCCTGCGGCCTTGGGTGCGAACTGCAAGGCACGATTCTGCCACTATAGGTGATTATTAGATCCGGCCGGAAGCCTTCACCAAGTACTAGTCCGTGGCTCCAAACTCTGCAATGTTCGGGTGCAGGGCTTTGGGCCAACTTTAGGTTGAAGCATCCTCTGTTTAAATCTTGGCTAAGTTGTGGTTGCTTGGCGCCTAGATTTCGAGCCATGCCTACTATGTGGAAGGGAAGTTCCCAGCAAAGATGACAGAGGTTCAGATGCAGATTCCAATACTGGTGCTAATACAAATACGAATATTAATGCTACTATTGCTATTTCAAGAATTGCGAATATTCTTACTCAGACTAAGACTGGCATTGGTCTGCTTTGAACCCTTTGGCCCGGATTCGACTTCATGGTGTCCTTGCTGGCGCACCCTTGGTTGCCTCAGAACTGTTCGCAGCATTTAACGTTCTGGGCCGTGCTGTGGCGTCCCTTGAAGCCAGGTGAGCTGTGGCACTGGGAGTCCATAAGTGCAGGCGACCGACATAAAACCAACAGCAGCGAACTGGCTGATGTCGCCGAAGACATGCGCACGCGTTGTGGGTACTCGTGACGATGGTTCTCTTGATTCTTGATGTAATTGCGGTGGCTGTTGGGGGTTGCAGCTGCTCGAGACTTTGCGGCTTCATTCCGGAGTCCTTTTTATTTAGGATTTTGGGGTCGTGCTGCAACATTTGGAGTGGTGCAATATGGGTGCCCGAAATCGCAAAACCCGAGCCTCAGCTCACTCTGTTGGTGCTCTGCGCGGCCTGTGTCCTGGCACAAGCCGTTCGAGGACCGCAGCCAGTTGTCACTTCCAGAGGTGCACCTGGTACAAAATGTTTTGGGTGTGGGGTTTCAAGTTTCAAGCTTGGTATTAGGGCTATTGGAGCTTACGAGCTTAGAGGTACGGGCCCTGAAACCTATGTATACGGACATGAATGCACTTTTGATGGGCCGGCATGGATCTACAGGCCTAGGACTTTGAGAATAGATTGATAAGGATTGTCTGTTGCATGTTGAAGGCGTCTTGGAGTCATCCTGAGTTTATAGCTCAGTCCCCTATATTAAGTAAATATTTGGGGCTGGTTCAAACTGCAACGGCTGGCCAATTTCCTGCAGGAAGTGGCTCAGGGTTTCTATGGCCACCTAAGTTCTCCTGACTCCTTTCATTGCCTTCTACGCCACCCGCCTCGGCTGTGTAGCGGCAGGGCGAGGGGGCAGTCGATGTTTTTTTAGGGGGAGGGGGGGGAGTGGCAAACGAACGCAAAAAACGGGTGTCTCCAAACATTTGGACTGCAGGGAGGAGGATTAGGTGGAGGGTACCTGAGGTAACCCCCAAGACGCCTGGGCCTCTGGCCTCGGCGGATTTGTTGATATGTTGAATCTCCAAATCGCAGCCTCCCCAATCCGCTCTGTGTGTGTGTGTTCTAAACTCACAAAAACAAACACTTTGATCCTATGTCTCTAAGACCGAAGCGCACGTCATTCCTTCAGGCACCCGCTACAACTTTGAGCCATTTTCGCAGGATGGTTGGATTGAGTAGGACGGGCGTTCCGCTCCGATACAAACTCCCCAAAAGTCAAAACTTTCGACCGAAACCCCGCAAACCCAACAGCGTACCTTGCGATGCTCCGGTCGCACACGCTAGCGGAGGATTCCAAAGATTCCAAAGACTCGGCATCCCCGGCCGTGTACAGAACAGGGGGTGGCCCGAAAGACGAAAAAGGCAGCTGAGTGGATGGGGGGGGGGGTGCTCGTGGTTTACGATTGAGAGAGTTTTGGGATCCGGCATTACAAAGACGGAGGGTCAGGTGTTTTGGTTGAAAGTTGATCGTTCAGGTGTGTGGTGTAGGGTGTCTTAAACCTCAAACCCCGAATATTGTCGTGAAGAGCTTAATCTCGCTTGGGGGTAACATTCGGCCATTCGGCTGTCATCCAAGAATTCTGAAACTTTGTTCACATTAGACAAGTCTCTGTAATTGGCGCTTACGAGCTTTCCTCACCAAGATGCATGCTTTACGTAGTCTTGAAGCAACACCCGTGTAGGGTTTAGTACTTTTTATTGTGGTCATTCATGCGGATCTCCCTCATGACAAAGTTCAAGACGGAGCCGGAAAAGCCCCCAATTCTCAGGGCCCTTCAAGGACCTTGGCCGCTCTAGACATACCCAGGCCCTAAACCCCCAAAGCTGGCCCCGAACCCTCAACCCAGAAATCCTAAACCCTAAACCCTGCCTTCTGCACACCAGAATGGCCACCACACTGAGGAAAAGTTGAGGAAGTCACCGGCTGGGCAGCTGATGGCGGAAATTGCCTGGGCCCTGGGAACCCTGAATCTCCTCAAGTCGTCGTCCGCCGACGAAACTTACCGTTGGTTAGTAGGGCATGGAGGAATGGGGTATAATCATAATTACTATTACTACCACTCTTCCATTCCCTACTAACCAAAGGTCAGGAAAAGGACGGAATCGAAGCAACAGTTTTCAGAGCACATCAGACTCCTCATCCACAACCTCTGAACCCCGAAGAGCGAAGCGCTGACTCTGAAACCTGTGAACCGTGTAAAGGGTTGGGCTCGAAGCAGGAACCCCTACAGTAGCCACAAGTTTTGGGGCAGATGCATCGTTTATGGATTTACAAGTTGGGGTTTCGGGCCTGGGATGCCGTGTTGCGTGCAAAACATGGGGATCAAGGATTTCCGGGGTCAAGTCTAGGGCTTACGGCTTTGAGGTCAAGGAGCCTAAGGCCAGAAGGGGTTGGAGCATGTTGCCATGCAAGAGTTGGGTTCAAGCGCAGCTTCATTTCAGGACCAGGGCGTTAGATTTCATGCTCAGCTCGAGAGCAAAGCCGCGGCAAAAGGTAGGAATCGCACCAGTTGTGCTGACTTGCAGTGAGCGGAAACGCAAACATTTTGCACTCGCCCTTAGCTGTCGACACTCTGACGAAGCCATGCAATCCCCCGCAATCCCGACATCAGCCCCGGCTGCGAGAAGATCTGCATAAATCGAGCGACAAAGCCGAAAGTGCTGAATCGAGCACAATGTCCACCCCCTCTCCCAATCCTAACCCTCCCGTCGATGCCGGAAATCCTGAAAGCTACCCTGGTCAGGTGGCGGAGTTCTTCGAATTCTACCAATTCAGGCCTGCTGCTTTGTCTTCGGAAAGCTAGTTTTCCATCGCTGGGAAAGGCTTAGTTCGCTTCTTGAGCGCAGCCACTGTTGCAGAGCTTGTGTTCGTTTTGTGGAGCAGGGGTGTTAGAGTTTATCGGTTTTCCAGGGCTTTAGAGGTTTAATTACTGTAGGACTTCAGGTTTAGTAATCTCTAAAGGGGTTCGGGTGTTCGGAAATTGACACGCCTCAATTTTCGCGAGGGGAGGGATGGCATTCGTAATAAGGAACCCAACAAGTTTCGGACAACTTAGAGTTTGGGTTTAAGTGTGGGGGCTTAGAGTGGGATGGCTTAACTAGGGTAGGGCAGTATAGGCGCCTTCACAATCAGACTAGGTTTTTGTGGTATATTCTACAAATAGTATTATATCTATGTAAGAAACCCAAAATAGTATTGGTAATTGTTTAGGCCGCTACGGTGCTAGAGTCTTGGGCTGGGCAGTTGGGTGAAAGAGTATGCCCAAGAAGCTCGACAAATCGCTGTCTGCACGTGAGAAGCACGAGTTGTGAGCATGCACCCATGTAGGGTTCAGGGTTGAGGGACCGTTTCGTGGTGTGGCTAACGTAGGGCGAGCTGCAAGAGAGGACGTATGGGACGAAATGTCCGGTGCGTTAGACCTTCGTTTTGCCGGTATCGGCCTTTCGAGCTCTAAACGCTTAAATTCCAAACTCCTTACAAACCCATGAAGCCTAAACCCCAAACCCTTATCCTTATCATTACATAACCAGTCCACATGTCCCATCTCCTTGTAACATGCCTGCAATGGAGCTATTACTATAGGCAGCTTAGGATCGTTGTTGCTTCTGTTTCTATCCTGGGGTTGAGGGTTGGGGATGTTACTGTTTTGGGCCATTCGCTTTTAGTCATGTTCCGGGCCGGTTCCGGGCCAGTTCCGGGTCTTTGAATTTGGTGTTTCGGCCGAAAGCACCTGTGATTTGGACCAGCGCGGCCGCCAGCTTCGACCGAGAGTAGGCGCATTCGATCGAAGGGAGGATACATTGCTTCACAAGATTCACGAGGTTTTATTGCGTCCATGGCAATGATCGAGATTTTGCATAAGAGTAGTAGTCCTGCCATCTTGCTCTATCCCTGAACACCAAATCCAAGCCCAATCCAGCACCGGTACCGGTACGACAGGACTCCGGGGTGCGCAGGGTTGGGTTTTCACTTAAGGTTTAAGCGTTCAGATGGTGTTTAGGACGTTTCGGACTTAGGATGAATCGTTGAGACATTTGCGCACACAACAAAGGCAGCAGAAGCAATCGGCGGTGTTCCAAGGTTGAGGGTCTTTAGTTGTAGCGTTTGCGTGCTGGGGGTTGAAGGACACGGTTTACTGTCTAGGCTTTCATGTTAAAAGTCTTGGGCAATCCCGGAGACCTTCCAAGGGGTCTTTTCTGTTTGCTTCAGATTCAGTCCCCTAAACCCTAACCCCTGAAACCTAAACCCTTAATCCTGGAACACCGACGTCAAGTTAGAAGGCCGAGTCCTTGGATGGCCTTTGCCGATCTTGGCTCAGAAGGAGCTGCAAGACACCCCGAAACCTTTCCTCCATTTCCGGAACCCCGAACTCCTGAACTGCCCAAGCTTAAACTCTGCAATCTCTAAGCTTTACGAACTCTCCAACCCCAAAACCTAAACTTTCAGCCCCCAAACCGCGCGAAAATCTCAAAGCGATACAGGAGTCATAGTCATGGTGTTGATGCTCCTTCGAAGCTTACAACGCTCGCCGAGGTTGGACCCGAGTTGAGGTTGATTCTTTGCAACTTAGGGCTTTTCGGGAGGTTACAGGCTTTCGGGTGTTACGTTGTAGGGCTTCGCTCTCGAACTAGCCTTTAATTTAAGCTGCAGGAACCTGGCCTTGCCATGACAACGATTACCTGGACAGGGTATGCGGGCCTCATCCACGGGCTAACCATGATAATGTCCACTTGGACTGCATCCGAGAACCAGCGCATCCATGGACCAACCATGGAAACCGTGGTCAATTCTGTAGAGAAACCGGGTTTTGGGTTTAGATAGGGCTTCAGGCTTCAGCGTTCTAGTGTTACGGGTTATGACTTTTGGGATCTCAGGCTGTAGCCGGTGGGGTTTTGGCAGTTGGGCGTTCAGAGTGTAGGATATCGACGTGTAGTGTTACTTCAAGATTCAGTGTAGGGTCTTACCAGTAGGGCGAGTTGGTTTAGAGTTTACGGCTTGATCACGGGTTTACGGTTCGTTATAACGGGCGGAAGAGTCCCTCGAGTAGGGTTCTTTGCGAATGAGCCAGACTTCAACATCACTACCAACAACCATCATCGTCATGATCATCATAGTCTGACTAGTTATCTTCATGGCCACTGCTGACACCAGCATCAGCAGTTTGATGCGTCATTACCATTATTATCGTTTTGCTTGATGGTAACCACCATCACCATTATCAAGGTACCGCCACAGCCGCAACAGCCAGTACCACCATCGAGATTATCAGCATAAGTGCCACAACCATGGGCATCATCCACTATCGTCACGGCCCTCAAAATTACACTGCTGCTGAGTGGAAGGCTGTTTTTGCACTCGTCGCGACACTGTTCGACGTCCGTTCCGGGTTCTGTAAACCGCGTCTTCGAGCTCTTTGAACGGACTCTTGGCGCCAAATGAGGCTCCTGGACAGCTAAGAGTTTGTTTAACAGGAGTTGAGGGGTTTGAAGCTGCGTTTGGGCTGTCTTTCAGCCCGGAATTCCAAGAAGTGGATGCCTGTACTTAGAAGAAGCCGCACTTCAGTTCAGCCTCGGAAGACGGATTTTATTTTGAAGTAAGAACGGTTCAGCTCCCGACCTTAGACCGCCTCGAAGTGCTTAATGGTAAGCCTCAAACTCCTGACACTCTAAACATACAATTCTTGACGACAAATCCCTGAAGTTTCTAAAAGCCTTTCATAACGAGGCATGGGAAGGGCGACTACATCGGCGAAGATGTCTCGCAGCTGGAACATGCCCTGCAAGCTGCAGACTTGGCCCACAGGCCTTCGGCAAGCCCCCGAAACCCGAATTTTGTAACATCCCTTATGTCCTGAAGCTTTGAATGCCCAAACCTCCAGTGCCCTAAGCTCTAGACTCTGGGCCCAAGGCCCAAGGGCCTCAGCGCCAAGACATGCAGAAGCAGGTCGGGTCATATGGGAGTTTCCGAAAATAGGGGACCCAAGTATAATACCTCAATTAGTAGGATCCTTATTATAAGGACCCCCAAATAAGGTACCCCTAATTGCCGGAAACTCCCATATAGGTTTTTCCATGTCGACAGAAGCACATGCAGGTCGGGTCATGGGTTAGAAGCAACACTGGCGGCTCTCCTCCACGACGTGGGGCACCTTCTGGGCCCCTCGGTGGCTTATGGCAAAGGTGTGAGTTGGGGGAGTTAGGATTAGAGGTTTAGGACTTTTTGGAGATCAGGGCTCCGGATGATAGGCTTTTTGGTTTAGGATGTAGGATTTGGTGGATCTGAGGTTTCAGGTGAAGAGCTATCGGGGCTCCTCAGACTTCTAGATTTTTAGGATGTCGGCGATTTCGGGCTGTAGTTTGGCGTGTCTGGAGTTCTTGAACTTGGGAGCTTAGGGGTTCAGGGCTGGATGCAGTGTAGTGTTGCCGCGAGGCATGGAGGACAAGTCGCATGCCAGGATGGGCGATTGCGGAGTAGCCAACCATGAGCCTCGGGCCGCCTTGGACAATTCTGCAGATGTATATAGGTAGTTGTCAAAATGATGGTCCCTTTTGGGTACCAAAAAGGGACCATAATTTTGACGACCACCCATTTACCCGTAAATCCTAAACCCAAATCCGAACCGCGACATCCGAAGCCCTGTAAGCGAGAGTAGCAGTGGGAGTCGTGGTCGCGGCAATACTGCTAGTAGTAGACGTCGTGGTAGTAGTAGTAGTCGTCGTCGTCGTAGTAGTCGTAGTAGTAGTAGTAGTAGTAGTAGTAGTCGTCGTCGTCGTCGTCGTCGTAGTGGTCGTAGTCGTAGTCGTAGTCGTAGTAGTAGTAGTAGTAGTAGTAGTAGTAGTAGTAGTAGTAGTAGTAGCAGTGGTATCAGCAGCCCTCTTACTTACAGTACACTTTTCGCACACATCCGTCTTACTAGGTATTTGCAGCACTCTCGTCATGTAGGAGCATCTTACGAAGCTTCAAAATTCATTTGCGAGCTTGCAAACTCGAGGGGAGGGGTGGCAGGAGGGGGGGGATGATGACAACATTGTTACGCAGACACCTTGAACACCATCTGAAGAAGAGATTTACTGTGCTTTCGTGATGTCGGACCATCTCAGATTTACCTCTGGATTTTGCGAACTCGACATTGGGCTTTGCGAACGCTTTCGGCGTAAACTCGAGATTGGTTGGGGGAAGCTTTTTGTTACTCGGTAGTTAAGGTACTTTGGTCATGTCGTAGTCCATTGCTAACCACGTTTGTCAGCACCGTTGTTGCTTCGGGGGGAGTTGGGGGGGTGCCATGATGACGTACAGGCAGCCTCGAACACCACACACCACCTCAAAAGCAAGCTGTCCTACGCCCTACGCCGAAGTCTGGGCTGTAAGGTTGTTGGCGAGCCCCTCCCACGTACAGTTCGCGTTTTTGTTGTTGATTTAGAAGATGTTGCGCTTCAGGTTATAGGATTGTTTAAACCTTCTTGGCAGCACCTGCGTTTTGCACGGTACTTACAGCGATTTTGTACTATCCGACTACCTGTGGTTTGGCAGTTTCTGCGCCGTCGAGTTTGCAACTCCAGTTGCTGGCGCAGTTTTGGGGGCATGAGCCTCTGCAACTTCACCGGCTGTGACAGTTAAGGCCAGTGAGCTTCGGCCACTTTTGCAGCTGTCACATGTAGGGAGCCTGAGCCCCTGCATTTGTGACAGTTAAGGCGAGTGAGCCTCGGCAACTTCTGCAGTTGTCACATATACGTCATATACGTCTATATGGGCCTGAGACCCTGCATCTTCTGCAAGTGTCATTTTCGTTGTTGATGATGATGGGTTACGGCGGCAGGTGGTTGGTAGGGGGCGGGGCCGTGGCTAGTAGCAGCAGCAGCAGCAGCAGGAGGAGGAGGAGGCGGAGGAGGCGGAGGAGGAGGAGGAGGAAGAGGAGTAGTGGTGGCAGCAGCAGCAGTAGTAGTAGCAGTAGTGGTAGCAGCAACAGCAACACAAGTAGCAGCAGCAGTAGTAGTCGTCGTTGTGTATTAGGAGGAGAAGCAGGACACACAGGAGGAATGAGAGCAGTAATGACAATCCACCCCGCTGCCCTCAATCTACTGGACTCTGCCCCATCAAGCCCGGCAAGATACCCTGCTCCAAAGAGAACTTACTTTGTTCCGGCATGGATTGTATTGCCGTTTTGTTTGGCTAGCTCAGCAGGTTACCCAAACAAGGTACTACCTTTTGGGGGTTTCGGTACATCCACGGCTTCCTCAGGAGAACTTGGGTGGCAACTGGCTCGCCGGCCTAGGCGGGAATCAGGATTTTGAGTACGGATTTTGCAGACCAAGCGTGGGGCCGAGGGTGCTTTGCCGGTGTTGGTGTTTAGGGAAGGGTCCAAGTAAACCCTCACGACCCCTGCCCGAGTCGCCCCTCAACTCTCATGATGTCTACTGGCATATAAGACGCTGCGAAAGCACCTGGGCCCAGAGTTCCCACAGTGGCTGGAAGAGGCTGCCACTGGTTGCCACCTAACCAAAACAAACAGGGCCTTTTCTCGGCATCCCTTCGCACAGGCACGCCAACATCAACATCAACATCAACTTCATCATCATCATCATCATCATCATGAGCATCACCATGGCACACCCCAATAGTAAAGGATAACAACAGACTAAGAATCTAGCATTTAAGGTGCCAGGCCGGGTACTTCGTGACTTGGGTTTTACACAAGAATCGGCGGATTCACGGCTTCAGGATTGAGGGTGTGAGGTTATGGGCGGTACAGGGTGCAGGGTGTAAGAGTTCAAGAACTCGGGCCCAGGGCTTCGGGTTTGGAGCCTTTGTCCTCGATCCAGGCTTCTCTCCAAAAGTTTGCCAGCTCGTCTCTCGGCATGTCGATGCCAAGCGATACCTCTGTGCAGTGAACAAGGACCGTGCTTCTCAGGGAGCAACGTGCATGTCGGGCTTGAACGAACCCCGTTCCTGTGTCCAACCCACTGCTTACAGCCAACACAAATCCTGAACTCCGCTACACGGTTCAGGCAGTGCTTTTGTTGTAAAGCTATTGGTGCAGGAAAGCCTAGCTGGTTATGCTTGGCCTCGCCTCGGCACAGCAAACCATTAAATGCGGCTGTGTACGGGATTCCCAAGCCTGTCTGGGCACCCCACAAGTTTTAGGTTGGAGAGGGCACAACAGGCTTAGTCAAGGCTTAGTCGTTCGGCTCAGTCGAGGTCTGGTTTGGGCCCCTGTGAACAGAAAGCACCGGAATTAAGAACGACGAGCAACACCACGACCAGCAATGTGTTCAGGAGTATCACGACACATTGAGCTCTGCTTCAAAGACGACCTTGAACCTTGGCTGGTTTTAGGTGTGGGGTGTGCGGAGTGCCACGGGTCAATCGGTCAATGTGCCTTGTGCCCATCGCCCCTGAAAGGGTGCAGGAAGAGTGAAACAGCGGAATGCCAAGGGTGCTTCCCACCCCCGAGATGCTGAACAAGCTGCTGTTCCAAATGCAAAGAAACGCGACGTCCTTCGATGCAAGAGCACGTAAGAGCACTCAGCCCAGGATCCACCAGGGTGGACCCATGACCCAACAGGCCGACCTGCGGGGCTTTATAAGCGTTCACGCGGGTTTTGTGACAGTTTCCAGTCTGGGGCTGAGAACTCAAGCTCTTTTTCAGGTTCCACTCGCTGGCTTTAAAGGGCTGTGCGAGGTTTTGCAAAGCTTCATTTGGTTTTATATCCCCTCCTTTGGACTTTAAAAGGCCTTTAAGGTTTCTCAGCTGTGGGGTTTCGTCAGGGGTTCACAAGGGCTTGTGAGGGCTTTAGGGTCGTTGTTCAAAGGTCTTTCCCCAACAGAGGGCCATTGGGCAGGTTCCTTTTCAACACCGTCGGGCCTCCTTGTGCGGAAGTGTGTATCGGAACTATTCCGAACTGTCGCGAACCCTCCTTGACGTTGTTAGATATTTGTTTCCAACAAGCTTCACTGCAACAAAGGGCCCCGTTCCCCAGTGAATGTTTTGCCACTTTATGCTTCTTCGGTGAGATTTGGTTGCAGCTGCTTCAGAAAACTGATCCCTGGACTTACCAGCGAAACCCTGTAATCCAAGCTTCAACCCCTCGTTGCTTTCGCAGGAGGCGAAAGCCTTCGAAAAGGAGGTGCGCAGCAGGGACATTTAATAGTACGATATCTCCAGCATCTCCAGCTCAATGTTGAGCTCTGGGTTTTCGGGTGTGGACCTTCTACGTAGGTGCATATAGAGAAGCTCGAACAGGATGCTAAACGGCAGACTAATGATGAGTTGGTCAGCCAAACTCTGGGACATTTGGGACACCCCTTATCCCAAGCCCATGCTGAAGCGGCGACAAAGGATCAAGTCATGGCTCCAGGGCCCAGCTAGGCTTAGAGTTAATTAACATAGGGGCCTCACTACTTTGGGGGGTCCTTATTATTATAACTATGGTACAATATACCCCAAAACCCTAGTCCAATTATCAAGGCCCCTGTATTAGGCATGGGGCTTGCAGCCAGTTGTCCACCAGGAGCTCTTCAAGGTGATCCTCGCCATGCGCCGGTGGGATGAGGCAGCCAAGGCGATATCCCCGCACTGCTACGTCTTCGACGACGACGACGACTACTACTACTACTACTACTGCTACTGCTACTGCTACTGTTACTGCTACTTCTACTGCTGCTACATGCTCCTTCTGCTTCCACTACTCTCACCAGTGCTTAAGACCATGCAGACTCTGGGTGAGCTTTTTGGAAAGCTTGGCGGTTGAGGTTTCGGGAGCTTGAGGTGAGTCACGGTCAAAACCCCGGTAGTCTAGGCTGTATGTTGGGATGACCCACGGTTTCCAACAGTCTTTGTTCTTGTCGGCGGCCGCAACTACATGCATAGGCTGAACGAAGTCAGAGAAAGCGTTTGTGTGGGCCTGGCCCCTACTGCTACGCTGCTACTGCTGCAATTGCTACTACTGCTTCTACTGCTGCTACTACTGCTACTACTGCTGCTACTAGTACTGTACGACGTGTACTACTACTACTACTACTACTACTACTACTACTACTACTACTACTACTACTACTACTACTACTACTACTACTACTGCTACTGCTACTGCTACTGCTACTGCTACTGCTACTGCTACTGCTACTGCTACTGCTAATGCTGCTACTGCTACTGCTACTACTGCTGCTACTGCTACTGCTACTGCTACTGCTACTACTACTACTACTACTACTACTACTACTACTGCTACTACTACTGCTACTACTACTACTACTACTGCTACTGCTACTACTACTCCTGCTGCTGCTGCTGCTACTACTACTACTACTGCTACTACCCAAAATGGGGTTGTGTACAGGGGTGTAGTTGTGTGGCCTACCGATACCCTACCGATACCCCAACAGATACCCTGCCTTTACGTTTTGAAGCCCGGAGCCCTTTAACCCCTCCGTCCGTACTCCATAGATTGGCAATGTCCCTGCAGTGACGAAACACGGTGGAGCCCACTTGGTGGCCATCATGTATGATTGTTCTGGGATCATTCTCCATCGTCCTCCCTCCCCCTGGTTTGCGTGGGTTGGTTCCGGGTTGTGCTGGGAGCGGGGGCGGATGTGTAGGTGTATGTATATGTGTACATGTTTATATGTATATATATATATATATATATATGTATATATATATATATATGTATGTTAATGTCGGTCAAGCTTTAGTCGGCGGCCGCAAGTACACGCTTCGATTGAGTTATCGGATAATGGCGCCAGAACGGGGTTTTGACGACGACTCAGGTTAAGATTTCGGGACGACATCTGCGGTTTTGGCATGCCAGTTTGGGGTTTAGAGTTCAGGGTTCAGGGAGGCTGTGGCCAAATTTTCTTTGATGTTGCGTTGCATAGGTCTGGAATGACAGCGCAAATACTCCAAACTCTATGCCCCCCAAGTCTTAAACCTTTAAACCCAAGCCCTAAACCTGGGCTTAAGCCCTACACCTACACCTAAACCAGGCCCTGTGACCGAAACCAAAGCCCTTCACACCCCCAGCGAGCGCACTGCAGGTGCAGGGGAAGAAGGTGCCGGAACTCGACTCTGGAAGCAATAGCCTTGAGTAGCACAGGGTCTCGGATCTAGTTGTAAGAGGCGTTCAGGGTGAAGGGACGTCGGGTAGCACGTCAGGGCTGGAAGAGTTCTGGCCCGCAACTTTGCAACAGCCGTTGAGTCGCACCGTGACAGCAACAGCCAACAAACACGAGTCGTAATGATCATCATAGTCATCATGTTTCTGGCGGCAATACAGATGAAATTACAACAACACCTATACTTGAAACATACAGCGAAGCAAACGGCAAAATTATTGTTCTGATCACACTCCCCTATGATTACTGGATTGGTCAGACAAGTGTGGTTAATTACAATCGTTGCAAGTCACAATACATATTAGAGTGGTAAGATTAAGTGTAATGTCAACCGTGATTGCATGCTGTAGACTTTGTGGCAGCGCGTTGCGCTTTGAAGTTTAACGCAGTTGGCAATATGTTGACTAAGTATTGGTGCAAGGCACCTTGAATACGGACTCCCGAATCCGGTACGTGCCGGGCCCCTGGCCAGCATGGAGGCTTCGATCAATGCGAGGGCTGTTGAAGCTGTGTACCCGCAGGTCTACGTATTACAGAAATTTGCTGCTAACCCCGGCACTCGTGCATTCATGGGAACCTTGATAAATCAGCAAGCCTCGTGTGACAGGAGGGGCTCAAAAAGGGTTTTGGCCGAACTTGGAAAAACGAAAGCACCTCGTCTTCGTGGTTTTGTTCCGCAGCAAAGCTTTAGCTACGATGATACAAACAAAAATAGACAAATGAGTGTATGAATACATGTGTACATATTCCCATATCACTATGTATATATATATATATATATACATATATATTTATATATTATACATATATATATATACACATACACATACATATCCATGTATTAAGCCTTCGCACTGCATTTTGCCGTATGGGACTTCTGCTTCATCTTCAGGGTTTAACGCTTCATCTGCATGCGCCAACCCCAAAATGAAGCCAAAACCCGTCCCAATGAGTCAGGGTAGGTAAATATGAATGTAACGAAGCATGCATGCATGTAGGCATGTACGTATGTATGTATGCATATGCTCACACATACAACATACGAATACTGAGATGTTCATTCATGCATGCACTCGTAACATACATATATATATATGTAAACATACATATATGTATATACACATGTATATATTTATGCACATACATATGTGTGTGCACATACATGCTCATATAATCATATGTTGTTATGCTCATGTAGTCATATGCTCATCTTCACAATACACACACACACATATATATATATATATATATATATATGTGTGTGTGTGTAAATGTATAGATGTATATATGTATATGTATATACATATATATATATATATATATATATATATATATATTTTATACATATATATATATACATTTATATAATGATACAGAAGCTTACCCCCCCCCCCCCCCCCCCCCCCCCCCCCGCACCCACCCCACCCCCTCCCGTTATCCATGGCCGCTTCCTTTCAACGAGACTGGATGGAGGTGGGTCTATTTTTGCAGGTTGCGAAAACACTGCCAGGCTCGAATCTCCCCAAAATTTGTAAAGCTGTAAATGCCAAAACATCGCCAGGCCCCAAAATCCCCAAAATCTCAAGCAACCATGGCCCCGCACTCCACGTAGATTCCTGGAGTTTGGGGATTTTTGTGAAATCCGAGCCTGGCGATGTTTTGGCACTTCCAGCTTCACAAATAAGATCTTGCTAACAGTTTGTAATCTTGCTCGTTGCTTGAACAAAGAAAAATATCCCTGTATTTTGTATCATTCATAAACCAAAATAAAAAAGCTGATAAGCTCAGCTGTTTCATAAGATTACATCTAAAGTGAGTTGCCCAGTAGTACCCTTTTGCCTTATTAATATTGGGGTTCCCATATTCAAGCTGAATACCAGGAAAAAGGGTACCACTCAGCGACACCGGGGAATCTAGCAAATGAGCTTTCAATTGCTTCAAGTGCTGGCGGTACCAACTCTTCTCTCATTGAGCAAAATCATTACCGAGTCAATGTCAGCCTTGCCCAAAAGGTAAGCCAAGTCTTTTACCACGTTTTTTTAACATAATCAGACAAAATGAACTTCCACAATTGCTCGGAGGCTCTGAGGGGAGGTTTGGAGTTGGTTTCATGCTGTATTCAAGGATGGCAGGAGCTTGGTCACTTGTGCGAGTAGCACAGGGAGCTCGATTATGTTCTGATGCCGGATCGTCTTGCATCATTTTTTTTGAAAGAACGGCAAACGTGTTGAGAGGAACAACGAATGCCTTCCAGATACATGTCTATCTTCGTTCCCACGAAGCATAAGCGTAAGAAGATCGCCATCCTTTACTTCTGACCGAATCTGTTTGGAATTTGGTGGAGGGGCCCCACTTCTTTCCCTGACCACTTAGATTGAACTTTGTGGTTTGGGCAGATTGTAAGAGATCGTTGAGTTCCAGCCACTGATAAGGGGCTAAGGCTGCAAGGGTGGCTTTTTGTGTTTCTTTGTGATGAAAACTTTTTCTAATGAAAGACGACAACACCACCAATTTTCTTTCTCAATTTCGAAGATATGAAGTTGTCCTGGTTTCGCCTGAATGCATGAAGATACATGGAGGTTGCTTTGCATGTTTTATGATGAGCCTAAGGTTTGTGTTTTTGGATAGATGGGAAACACCTCTGTTTAGTGTTGTTGCTAGTAAATCAAACATACCACTGTTATGTTTGTTTTCAATGAAGGATTTGTCCTTATCCCTTATGGTACTCTGAGAAGAGCAGCGATTTCTGTTCAAACTGTTCATCTTACGTAGTTCGACAAACTATAAGCGATGGTCAAATGCATCTTGGAGTTACGCTCTTGATGCAAAACAGATACAGGCCTTCTCTCATGTTTCTTACAGGGATAGGAACACAAAAGCCTTTATAGTCATTGACAGAATTTGTGAACTAGGTAAACATGAAAAAGATTTCTCATTTATGCTTCTATGTGATGAAGGAAGATTTCCCACGGCAAGAGAGTTTCTCCTTTCCTATTGAGAGAACACTGGTTGTCCAGAAGCAAAGGAGGTTGCTGGTGTCTTTTAGCTCTCTGCACTTGCGACAAACGAGCGGAAGGCACGCAAAAACGGAGCCCCAAACAGAATCCGTTTTGGGTTCAAGTGGTTTTCACCAAACCACACGAATAAGTAAGCTAAGTAGTGGTAAGTAGCGGTGAAGTGGAGAAACCACCGTAAATACCGTTGGATTCTTCATTTGAGACACAAAGACAGAGACTAAAGATGGCGGGAGCACAGTCGGCGAGAGGGCTGGCATCGATCATGGGGGGGGGGGGATGTGACCATACAGAACTGTATGTATATATATACATATATATATAGCTATTATAGTTCAAACGGATCGATAGATAAAAGGTAGATAGACAAATCGGCAGATGGATAGATAGATTGGTAGGTAGATAGATAGTTTTCCTTGTGTGTGGCCACAGGCCATCCCCAGACGGTCGTGTTGCTTTTCCGATAAGCCTGAGGATGCCTCCTCAAGGCCCGACTCCCGATCCCAAGGAGGCTTACAGGGACATGATGGAGCAGAATGTCGGGCAGCGCGTGGGGCCTGGCGAGTAGAGATCTCCAAACTTGAGGCAAGCCTGACCTTCGCCGCAAGCACACGGCTGGAACTCGCCTTTTGTTATTAGTTACCATTGCGATTTAAAAAGGCTCAGGCAACGCAATGAACATGCTGACATGCTGGTTATCAGCCCTCTTCAAGGGTGGTGCGAATTTCCAGCTGAAGCTTCATCGATGTTGTTTGTACAGCTTTTGCCCGCCCAGTGTGAGCACCGCTCCCTGCGTAGCACTGTAGGACGAACCTCCCGCTGCGGCGCGAGCTTTCTTTGCAAGCGGCCTGGGAAAAGGAATTGATTCGAACACCCGGGGCTCAGGTGTCCAAAATATGTCGTTGCTAGTACAAGTCACCTCTTAGATGGACCTGCGGTGTCTGCCGCCGGTCTGTGCACAGAGGCTTCGGGTGAGGCTGTGGTGGTTGAAGTTTGGATGTGGCCTTCAGATGTCAGGAGTGGTTCAAGCAGGAGCTAACGTCCTAAGGGTTAGATTCGAGTATGCAACAGCAACATGAGTGTATATGTTCAATCATATACATGTTAGGCTTTATGATATGGTCTGATATGATACGATAGCTTGTTGTTATCATATTCAGAAGGTGTTTCTAAGGCATGAAGACGGGTAGTTCGCGGCTTCGGGACTCTGGGGCTCTGGGCTTCAGAGTTTACCTGTAGTATCCATTCTAGTTCTGTTTTTGGTCCAACCAGCTGTCTGGTTTTAATCGTGTAAGGCAACCCCAAAAGCGAACTACTATGGAGACTCAAGGCATGGATGCACTTAGAGTTTTGAGCACCTGGGCATTTAAGACTCCAAAGCTGGTGTGTTTCGCCTTGCAGGCTGCAGTGGTTCTTATGGAGTGGTTCTTACGTCTTGCGGTTTAGGGTTTTCCGGTTTCTTCTTGGGGTATGTGGTTAAGTTGGAGGCTCAGTTACTGATATATTAAGGCTTCTGTGGTTTGAGGTCTTAGGAAAGGGCAAAGAGGTTCTGTGCTTCAGTTGTTTGGCATGGTCCAGCCATCTTAGGATAAACCTATACTGTATGAACCGAGTACAAAACCTAAACTTGGGATGATCCGGCTTCCGGGTGTACGATTTTGGTTAAACGTCTGTAGAAGCGATTTTGTGAAGTCTTCAATACACTATTATGTGTATATATATATATGTATATATATATATAAACTATTGTGTATATATATATATATGTATTGAATAGGCCTGAATAGCCAAGCAGGTCCCCAGGAAAGCGACCCTGCCAGGCACAGCCTTTCCGTCTTCCTACCCGAGTCAAACCTCGGAAAGGAACGTCGCAGCCGAACTGAGGCAAAAAGGGGGGAAGGGTTTAGGGTTTAAGAGTAGGGAGGGGGCCTTTAAACTTAAAGCCCAAACCCTACAGGGGGGAACCTTCAGTCGGCGCCATGCGCTTCTCAGGGCTTTACGAGGGTTTGAGAAGGACCATTTCAGGGTAACTGCAAGGGTTTTCGTGGGGCTTTAACAAGATTACAGAAGAGTTGTATCAGAGTCTAAGGGTTCACAGGAGTTTTTGGACGTCGAGGCTGTAGGTTTGAGAATTTAGGGTTTGTGGAGGTTTTGGGGGATGCAGGTTTGGCTTGAGTGACGGTTCGTCCGGCTGCACGGGGTTGGAAGTTGATGACTGTAGCGTCTACAGGCATTCCCGCTTGGGGTTGAAGGTGTTTAGGCGTTTCGGCCCGAGGTCTATCAAGTCCCAGGCCCTGAATGCAGCTTCTACGTTTGGGGTTGGTGGGTTTTGAACTTGCACGCAACATAAGCCCTTAAGCCCATAACCCTAAACCCTCATCGCGAAGTTTGCAATCTACAGCCTTGCAGGTGGCTTTGGATGCCGGCCTGGCCCGCGTCCACTCGGACACCTCTATCCTCGAACAGCTCATCAGCAGGGGGTCTTGGCTGAGGTTTTGAGGATATAGTGCTTGAGTTTTGGTGGAGCTAGACTTCCATCATTAAGGACTGGGGTCCGAATCCAGAGACATGGGTCTACACATCGGCTCGCGGGGATGAATTTCTTAAAGCTTACTGTCGGGCTCTTCTTTGGCCAAGGGTTTCTATTGAAGTTTCTGTGTAAAAATTCTGTACTGGTTCAGGCTCTGTAGTTGTGTACACTACAAATATTCGGCATTGTTTCGGTTTGTCCTTTGCTAGAACCCGAGCCACACCGCGGCTTCCAGCAATCCGAGGACCCCCCCCCCCCCCAAAAAAAAAAAAGAGAAAACACACACAGACACACTTCAACAGCAAGCCTCCCAAACCACCCACTGCTCCAAAGCAAAGCTCCGCCACCTTAAAAGCTAAAGACAACCTAGAGCAAAAACAAAAACACTAATTTGGAGTCTTCGACTCCCCTACAACAGATAAACCCTCATTACAGTTCTGGTTGTAACCCTTTCAAGCGGAAGCTTTTAAAGGAAAGCCTCAAGCCCGACTCAAGCCCCAAATCCTAATCCCTAAGCCCTACTCTACCCCTTACGGGCTGCGTATTCATTCGAGATTGAGGTCTTGCCTCGAGCATGGCGACGACAAAAAGCCGGGGAGCTTCGGGGGGATTCCCGGATGGCCTCGAGAATGCTTAGGATTTTGAGCTCAGGGAAGTCAAGGGTGTAGGGTGCATGGTCATGACTGTTGGGTATGTTTTGGCGAGGGGGGAGGTCTATGTTGACTGCATTTGCTTTGGTCGTGCCGGGCTCTCTGGTGCTTTCAGGATCCCTGCTTTGCTTCCCATGTTGTTCCGTCAGGTGATTCAGGGATTTGTGGTTGTGCGGCTTTGCTCGGCTGTCGGGTTTCTGAGCTTTGGTTGTTGGATTTCCTACTGTGGATTCGGGGAGTCGGAGCGCTGTCAGCTTTGGGAGCCTTCCTGATGGAGAGGAAACGTGCTCGGTTTATGTGGGTCCCCATTTCAGTACTTAAGAGCTTCGGGCTTTCTATTTCTAAACCCGGAACCCTTATCCGATCACGCATACATCTCTTGCATGTCATGGTAAGGTGCAGCATAGTGCAACAGCTTATGCAGGTTGCAGATATGCATTCACCGCCTCGCAGAAAAGTTGGTCTGGGATTTTCTATGAACACCTTTGAGTGTGGGTCCCGCTAATTGGGACAGGCATCGTAAGAGGACCGTCGTCTGTGAAGGACTGACGCAAAGTCTTCGTTCTTCAGAGTGGCAACCCATCTCTAACCCTAAACCCTAAACCCTAAACAGTGCTCTAAGACTCTAAGACCTGACTTCGAGATCCCCAGGAATCCGAGTGCCTAGCATGCAAACATCTCGGCCGGCAATTCCCCTCAGCCGCTTCGAGAACGGATACTCCTGAACCCTGTTTTCATCGCCAAACACCCATGAAGACCAGCCCATGAAGGCTGGCTCAGTGTTTAAACACCCTGAAGCCGGATCGGGTAACTAGCCGAGAAGGATCTCAAAAAGTAACAAATAGGCCTGGACGCTTCCGGGCTTTGGAGTTTAGAGGGTTTGGGGGATTTCGGGTTCAGCGGCACCAGGCGGGGAGGGCTGGCACTCCAGCGCCAGTTCGACCACGGCCCTGCCCTGAATCTTGATTTTGGCTTCACGGTTTAGGGCGTAGGGTTTAGAGTTCCTAAAGGGCTATCGATGGCTTCTAGAAGGATTCGGCGTTTAGGGTTCAGGGTTTAGTGTGTTTTTGGGGATCAGGGTGTAAAAATTAATGAGGCTGGGAGGAGTCGATTGTCCAGAGCTGTTGGGTTCAGATTTTGGGGATTTAGGTTTCGAGTTCCGGCTCCGATTTCAGAAGTTTAGTGTGTAGGGTTTTCGGGTTTCGGGGTTTAGGGTGTAGGGTTTTAGGGTTTCGGTGGCTTTCAACCCTTTCAGGGACCCCAGAAGAAGGAAGAGTTGATCGAAGGCTGCAGTCCGAGGATTGGTAATGATACCATACTAAGGGACCTGAGTCAACACCAATGGTATTCCTGAGGGTCCCTAACTATACGGTTTTTCTATGCACTATACTATGTACTTTATACTAGTATACTATAGACTATAGTAATATACCCCGAAACCCCATTCTAATCGTGAAGGCCCCTTATTTTAGGCCGTCTTGTCCTCAGAGCCTTTGCAGATGCACGAGTGGGAGCACAAGTTCCGAAGCATCCGAAGGGCGTGCCTTCGTTTCCGCGCTATACATGTTGTGCACAAAGCTGCAATCGTTGCACTGAGCTCAGTCTGCGAAGCCTCTCCGTAAACACTACACTTCCATCCTTTCAACCGAAAGCTTTCACCCCAAACCCTGAATTTCTATCTCCCAGCCCGAAATCTAGATCCCAATCCCCACGCCGAATCGCTTTCAATCCCTACATTCCACCCCAAGACCTAAAACCTAAACCCTAAGCCCTATAAATCCCTAAACCCGAAACTGCTGCAAACCCTAAACACTAAACCTCCTTCCCCCTCCTCGGATGCTGCGAGGCTTCTTCGCCACCTCCCCAAGCCGCCTCTTCGGCGCGGACCCCGAAAGCGGAGGGCTCTTTCTTTTAGCAGAAAAACAGCATTCTGCATGACTGATCTTCGTTTTCAGTGCTCGGTTGCCGAAATGGGGAGTCAGAGATACCTTTACCATACATACATACATACATACATATACATACATACATACACACATAAGTATGATGTGTATACATATATATATATATACAGATGACCATACAGATGTATGTGTAGTTTTATATGTATCTGTGCGTACATGTGGTAAACAAGATGCTTTCCTGATGGCAGCCTTGGCGGCTTCAGGGGTTCAATAAACGTAGAAACGGAAGCCTCAGAGTATACTTCCCGCAAAATGCACTATTCTGTTCAGCTATTAAGGCCGCTATCTTGGTGTTTCAGGTTGAGTATCGAAGCCGAGGGTGACCCCAAGAGGAATGCATGTGCCAGGCTTCCACGCATCACACTGCCTGGGAGAGCCTGCCGGGAAACGACACGCCACCGGCAGGACGGGTGGCCGCGACACA